CGATGTCCTGCTCGCACACCCTCGCCGCGCTGCATTGCGTACCCTGCACCCCGACAGCCCCACACGCTCGGAGCTGCCGCGCCACTTCCTGCCAGCGGCCGGCCTGTCGCATCGAGAGAGCATTCCACGTGCAAACACGGAGGCGCATCGCGATCGCCCGAGCTACGCACTCTGGCGGGGGGGCGTCAACACTGGCCCATTGACCAGCATGGATGCGCATTTGCCCCGCGGCGGGGATTGACGCAATCACGCCCTTGGCCCGCGGTGGGCCCGCAACTCAATAGCACTGGCATGACCCGCCTGGCGGCGGGCCTCGGAAGAGCGAGCGAGGAGAGGTCAGGGCACTGAAGCGGGGGGCGGGCCTCCGAGACGCACCACCCTGCCCTCCACTCACTACGCAACTTATCCATCTGCTCTGGAGAGCCAAAAGGGGCAAAATCACACGCCGCCTCGTCTGGCGCCCATTCAGCGGGCAATTTCGAAAAAATGCACGGCGCAGAGGCCCCGCGCTTACAGCTGCGCTTTTCCGCCCAATCCTCCCAGCCTCGCTCCTTGCCCCGCTGGCCGGCTTTAACCAACTGGCCCGCTCGCCGCCGCGCGCGCGCATTCAGCAAGGGGGTCGGGCAGGGGGCGGGGCAGGCCGCCAGCGACCAACTTCGCGAAGGCACGGCGCCACTGCAACGTCTTGGGAGGCCCAAACTCCTGCAGCGCCTGATGAGCCTGTTTCGCTTGGAGACATCATCCCAACCTCCTGAAATTGAATGCAAACCTCCAATCGCGTGAAACGCGCCATTCCACCAGACAGCCGCTGCACTCAGCCGCGGAAAAAGGACTGCTGCAGGACACGGCGGCTTCGTGGACTCGAGCGCTGGCTCTCGCGCCCCGCCGCTAAAAAGCCCCTGCCGCTGAGGCTGAACGTTAAAGAAGTTCACCCGCTCGCCTTCCGCAGCCGCGATGAAGCTGCCCCAAGCACAGTCAACATCGGCCCCGGGACAGCGGCAGCAATGCACAGCGCCGCCCCAGTCTGGCCCCTGGAACTCACGACAGCAACCCGCTGGCCTCTCAGCAGGGAAGCCACGCTCAAAAGGCGCGACGGTGCCCTGCTCCGATGCCACGATGACGCCACCGACGCCGTCGACCCAGCCACTCGCCTGCAGCTGCTGCGGGGTTAACTGCCAGTCAGCGCTGATGGTGAAACGGAAACCCGCCATCTTGATCTGCTTTGCCAACTCCACACAGAATGTGCCAGTTTCGCTCACTGGGGCCCTCCGAATTGCACAAGTATCAAGTGCCAACCAACGGACCACTTTTGGGCCCATGAGCAAGATGCATGATCTGAGCACGCGCAGGATCAATGATGCGACCCACATGCTCAATACTCTTCAAACCATAATGCACTGGGGCAACCACGAGCGCACCACCCGAGAGCCCAGCAATAACCTGACCACTGCCATCACAAAACTGTACCGCCTTAGAGGCAGGGTTGAAACTGGCCTTCCATCCAGTCCTGCGAAGCAAATCCTCTGGTGAATCACATCAATGCCCGCAACCTTCCTTTCCTGAACCAGAATCAGGTCGCAAGAGCTGGCAAGGTGCGAATTCAACAGCACCTCCATACCTGGCTTGTTGGTGACGTCCGCAGTGACAACAGTGAGCTGTTTACTGCTACCCCGACGTGTTGAGAACGCAGACAGCCAGTGCGCATCTTCTTGAAGGCCAGACCGACGAGCTCCATGGCCCTGCGCTTGACACTCGCAGGGTCGATTCCCTGGTCGAGGTTCATGTCGTGATTGGTGCCGACGGCATTGCACATCGCTTCCAGCAGCTTCTCTTCGTTCCTGGCAGTCCAGTCAGGAGCGGCGCACTCAGCAGCACCATGATCAGCAGGCCGTGGAGGCTGCCGAAAATGTCCAGGAGGGGTGGCCTGCGCAGCTGGCGCGGCCGAGGCGACTGAGGCGGCTGACGCTGGATGGTCGGCAGCGTATGTCGCGCAAAGCGCCGCGCCTCCGCCTGCCTGCGCCTCAGCCAGCCTTGCCGAGCCCTCGACCTGCGCGCGGCGGGCCGACGCACCCTTGGCCTGGAGTTCCTCCTGCAGCGCCTGCAGCTCGCTGGCCACGCTCGCAAGCTTAGCCTCGAGCTCAGTAGCCCCGGGGGCTCTGGCGCGCTGGAGGAGGGCGTTGCTTGCTCCGCGATCTGCAACCTCCTCCTCCTGCTGGGCTTGAGAACTGTCA